TACATATCACTGCAGTTTCCAAAATAAATGAACACTAGAGGCAGTAAAACTCCGACACCTTTTAAATTTTATTCCTTTTCACACAAATTTACAGAGTTTCGATTAATAAAGCGTAATTTTCACACAATTACTTGTTATGTTATGACTTCAAAACAATTTTAATATGCTGGGAGATTTGAAAACTGATGCTTTTGAATGTTAGCATCACACATATCCAGCTTCATATCTATGGGTTTTCATAGATGGTAGGTTTGTTCGGTAGCTCACCGAGTATGGAGACGTACTTGAGAGGTGAGGAACTCTGGTTCAAATCCCGTGTAACTACGGTTTAACAAAACAGTTGAAATCTGCATATAAGGAATCTCAAATGGCACGGTTGCATCAGCCAATGCGTTTTTATATCAGTTTTGCAGTTGTTAACACTATAGAGTAGGTTTAGGGTTGGGTTTGGTGTAGGGCATATTTCCAACACGATAGAGCATTAAAGGGTTAGTTCACCCAAAAATGAAAATTAGGTAGCTGATTCAGAAGCGCCTGATTGTCATAGCAAAGTCCGCATTACCTCCTCTCCTAGGTTCACGAAACGGTCGTCCATAAAATGCATTGCTGTTCTGTTGTAAGTAATCTTAAAGATTCCTAAATGCATCTACTTTCGGAAGGCTAAATAAAGTGCTTTTGCTTTCGCCTAGAAACACACAGCGTCTCCTTGACATGGCTGCTTCAACACTAACTGCGGTTACTGACACCATGCCTTCTTTCTTTGCGTGCACATTTGCGGCGGGATTATGCAAATATTTCCACATAGTGGGGTAGATATGTGGGGGCGTGTTAGAATGAGCCGTTTTAGGGGGGCGTGGCAGAGTCTTAACTTTGATAAAGAATATCTCTTTGGTTTTGAGACTTTAGTCTTTGCAACTTCAGGGATCTTATCTATGCACAATCAGCTTGTAACACTCCAAAGAGAAAGGAAAACTTGAAATCGCATCATATGACCCCTTTACCTTTTAGCGACAGTCTCCGGATATTTTAATTCTCAACCGCCGCAATATGTACCTGAAGCAACGTAATAAAAACATGCCAGGGTTCACGTATTGAACCCGTGTTTTAGCGCCACTCATTGGACATTTCTCTTTGAAACTGCAACGAAACATGCAGTAAGTTACGTAAAAACGGTGTTGCAGAAAAGTACCCAGAGGTACGTATTTTTATGAGACCAGGTTGAAATAAAATCTGTCCACATGCTTGATAGTCCCTCAATAAAATAAAATAAAAAATGTCACATTTCATAATTTCATCATTTTGTTTAATAAATGCATTATATTCTGCTGCATTTAAATGAGAAACATAAAAGTAAGCATGAGGACACCAGTGCACTTGAATCATTTTAAAATATGTGGTATATTATCCATGTATAGTCATCCATAAAAGAATACAGGATACAACAGTGAAAGAAGGGTGAGTTACATCATTGTCTTCAAAGGCAAAGGTTAAAAAAAGCAGTATGATGATATAGTGCTAGATCAAAGAGTGGTCTTGACATCAGAAAAAAAGTATTTCCAAACTGCTTTGACAAAATCTACTTGGCCTGTCACACTCCAGGCTATCCAGAGTAAATGAAGAATATTAACAGTGAAGCCTAAACCAGCATGCCATACTAATGCATTCCTGTGTTTTCATTCATAATCCAATGCATTTTCAGAACAGCAGGCTTCAGATTGCCAACATTTTAGTGCGAGATCACATATCACACCAAATCTCATAAAACAACAAACACCAAACTGCAACTGGCACGTTGCGGCCACTGTTCATATCAATTCATCCTCATATACTTCTGTATCACTAAGAAGATCCTCTCAGGTATTATTCAATAGGCATCCTTTCCACATCTCAACATCTTTGTACAGCATTAGTCGTGAGATCACAAATGATGAGTAACCTTTGTCATTGCACCGCCTTGTAAAGTAAAGCGTTAAAAGAATGAAAGGAAGAAAAGAAAATCACCCCCTGCTCTAAAAGTTAGCATATAAAAGGGTGTATGATTTTCTGCTTTGCTAATTGCTCTTCATAAGGGTGAATGGATGTATTCCACGTACCCACGCAGTGATTAGTACAACCACGTTCAGCATGAAGGCTGCTTTGTATAAATGAAGCTATAATTCTCCACTGTGTCAAATACTCTATTAATAATTCTTTGAGGGGAATTTTTAAAAACGAACGCATCCAATGTATTCTCCTGTTGCCACATTTCATCCACCATATTTCAGAGTGGTAATTGTAGACTCTCTTCATGAATCTTTGTAAAAACACTTAAAGATGCAGGCCATCATATAAGCTGGTTATCAGATCAAACGAAGCACTTCAATCAATCACCAGGAAAGACCCCTATAAAGTGCAGGGTTCTCTTATAGCACCATGCTACCAGTCAGACAATTGTATTTATGTGTTCCAAGGTCACTAACAGATGGCATGAGATTCCTGCACTGGAGACAGTTGGCACGAACAACTTGGCCCTGTCCAAGTGCCGGTATAATCATCATTATTCTGCGCCTGAGTAGAAACCACCACAATGAGACCATACTGTCGAGGAGGCTGCCAGCAGAATCAGAAGGACTTTCTTCAGGCATCAACATGACTGAATTTACCTAGGTGTGGAGATTAATTTACCTTTTTTTCAGCAAAGCCAAATGATGTGCAAAAGCGCTGTTTGTCTGATCGTAACTTTGCTTTTGCCTTTCAAAAGACTGGCTTTAATGAAAGCTGAAATGAAATGCTCCCTCACAGAATATGGACTGATCAGAAGAGCTCTGAAAATCTGTTATAGCTGAGGTATTTATTTATTTAATTGAAAATTAAACTCAGCACAGAGATCTCTCTGCCTTGTTTGGATATGGCTGGTGGTGAAAAAAAAGGTCTATTTGAGAAGCTTCACCAGTCACCATAACAAATGCCTTTATTTGTTGAAAATGACTGAGTCTCTTCCTCTATCGACTCGCAGTGATGTGGGACTGGAGCAGCGCAGCACCCAACACAATGCAAGAGCAAGATACCGGGGCTTCATTTTTTCTCCCTGTACACAACTCCAAGGTGGTAATGTGACACCAAAGGTAACAGAAGCCACTGACTAGAAAGATGTTAATCCTGACAAAGTGCCACAGCATTAGCCAGAGCCTTTGCTAGATTGAATTCTGCATCCCTCGGGAGCATGAGCAACACAGACGGTGGCGCTCAATCTTTTTGAGTGGCCCTCCGAGACAAAACTGTGGTAAGCAAACTGGGCCAGGACTAAAAAGAACAACAGCACCCTCTATTGAATGCATGTGAGCGTACATGGTGGTCTTCAAATATTAGTATTGTTGTTATTATTATTATTATTATTAAAAATACTAATACTAACGCATTTATCTCTATGTTGCCCCATTTCAATTATCTATTTTAAGGAAAATTTGACTTCTTCTTTATATATATATATATATATGTATATATATATATATATAGTTTCCATATCACTTGTTAGGCCTATATATGAGCTATAATTGCCACAAAGTAGCAGGCATCTCTTTACCAATTGCATTGCACTAAATCTGACAACATATTTAAAAAAAATAAATAAATACATTTCAATGTCAAAATAGGCTAATTCTAGACAATGTAACTATGACCAAAATATGATTTTCAAAAAACAAACAAATAAATAAATAAATAAATAAAAACCCCTACTTTACAAATGTAAAATCCACGCTTCACGGCCTTTCCTTAACAGTCCGATCGAAACACACTAATTCGCTTCACTAAATCACTCACTGTCTTGACTACTTCTACGCGTCCTACCGAGGAAATACAGAGCTGATATTGTTCATAAAAGATTTGTGTAATGATTCATGGTGTGATTCTCACAGTGGGGGGTATATGACTGTTTTTATGCCCGATGTTGTGCTCTCTCACCACCCGCACGACTCCTTCATTCCCCATCGTGAAAGCTGAGGCGTTTGTGGATTCACTCCAGCGACAGGCGGCTCGCATTCCCTTCTACAAACCAGAAACTCGTGAACCCCATTACTTCTATCAAAATAATAATAAAAATCGATTGAACTTCTCGTTGAATAAATTAATAAATAAACAACCCGGGGACACCATGCATGTACTATGCACCAGATGGAATCGTTATTATGCATATTAGGCTACAGGCTATTAAAGCGGCAAGGAAAGTTGTGCCCAACACTCTCGATGATGGACAGTCTTATAATAATGCCAAAATCACAAAAATAAATCTGATAATTTGATAGGCTAATAACGTCCTATAACCATTAAAAAATAAAACTACAGGGTATTTCTGCACTACACATATATTATAGCCTATATTTTATTAACTTGACTACGTGATTTTTTTATTTTATTTGTTTTATTTTATTGTTATTTATTTATTTATTTATTTATTTGTTTGTTTGTTTGTTTGTTTGCTCAGGCTCAGTGGAACGCAGTGCATCTCCACCACGTCGTGCTCACGATCTGAAGAGCAGCTCAAAACTAAAAGTTGAGCTACTCGCTGAGCCATGAGCAAGAGCTCCATGGTCCAGCAAATTGTCCACGAAAGCAAATCGCTCCTCTGAATGTCATCTGAGGCGCTCACATTTACTACAGACTAAGTGTGCATGGTTTACAATAGGTGTGCAGTCACTGCAAGAGAGCTGACTGCTGAGGAATGGAGAAAACCTTTGGTGAGAACGGCTGACCTGTCCTCTCCATTCCTCAGAAGACAGCTTTTTGCAGTCCAGCGTTGATATGATGCGCGTTTCAGTCGTAAACAGCAGCATCACTTCCTACCTTTGAACACTTTCGAAGACGACACCGGTTGTCCAGTGATGGTCCAAACAGCGGCTAAACGCTGCCACTTCTTCTCTGACCAACAATCAACATCCAACAAGAGCAGTCTGTGTATTAGCACTCCAGACACAGGGTCCTCCTTGTCAAAGTCCTCTCCCAGAATTGAAACAAAACATAAAAACCCGCTTTATTTATTGATTTTTTTTTTCTTCCTTCTTCAAGTAAGTACCGAAGGCAACTGTTAAATGAAGACTGGTGAAATAAAACTGAGGTATGTCCACGATCAGTCAGGTGCAGCTGCTCTGCGCGCACGTTCGCTGTGCTCCTCCAACAGTCGGAATGGTGATGATGACCGGTGCGATGTAACGCAAGCAGGCTGTGTGTGTCTTACCGCCGGTGACTGTGTCGAGTCGACCCTCCTTCTCTCCCTGCGTTTCCAGATGGAAGCAGTTTCTCATCTGTCCTGTCGTGCGGTCCCATCTGAAGCGAGCGGCCAACGCAACTGTTAAACCGGCCTCTAAAATCCTCCTCCAATCAAAACAGGCGGATGAAAGCTGAGCCCCCACTGGGGAATGAAAAAGCCGCTCGTCTCAATAAAATAAAAGAATATAAAAATTGTAAAAGTGCCACAATTCTCTTTGAAAAAGCAAGCTAATAAAACGAAAAAAGACAGTTTGCGAATCCACAATAACTCTTTTAATTTCGCACTTTTACTCTATGCTGTTTGTTTCGTTGACGTGATGGCATGGATATAGGGAAGACCGGGGACTGCTGTCAACACATTTTGTTTATTTGTTTCGTCTGTAACGCTGTTTATTTATGCATATTTTATTTAATATTTACATATCTATCAGCTACAAATTACTCCTAAATATTTATATTACTATACAGCAAAGTTATGGGTGGATTTATTGTGTTAATCAATTTTACTTTTTACAATATAATCATGTTCTCCATTATTTTAATTCAGAATGTAAATAAATCAATAAAATCAAATATTGTATTTATTTTATTTGTTTTATTGGTATGTTTTTTTAACAAATATGTGAAATGCTTTGGATGTGATCAATTTTAAATAAATAAATAAATAGTTGTGACCTGATTAGTCAATGCAATGTTAAAGCTGTTCTATGATGCACAATATTGTAACAGCTCTGACAGAAACACCTGTTAATATATTTGCACACAATGCCTAATTAATCAATAATAATAATAATAATAATAATAATAATAATAATGGTTTAATAAAAATCTGTTCCCGATTTTTTATAACGATTTTAAGGTACTCAAAGCCATGCTGCATTTTGAATATACAGGTGAGTTACAACTGTGTTACAAGACTCCCCAGTTTCCCCTGTTTCAAAGATGACTATCTTTTCAGAGTAATAACTTTTTTAAGGTTAAATACAGTGTTGCACACATAAAATCACAGTGGAGAACAGCACAACGCTCACAAAAATTCATTTTGCAAATAGGTCATTATGATGTAAGGCCATTACTCTGGTCATCATGTCAGAGCTTAATTGTAGGTTGGGTCTATAATTATGGTATCCATTACTGCCCTGCTAATTGGAATGTCTACTCTTAGCATTGTGCATTGTTGATTGAAATTGGTATTCTACTGAAACTGCAGTTTGACCCACTTCTTTTCCATTTGTGGCTTAAGGTTGAGGCAGGGAAGTGAATGTGGATCATGCTGAAAAATAAAACTGATGTAATATCGCTGTTCAGGATCCCATTTGGAGTCTATCAAGAGAAATGCAAAACACTCAGTTTAGATGGAGAGTTTAATGAGATGAAAATAATTTTCTTCTCTCTCTTCTGTGTTGTTTTTGCAACACCATTATAATAAAGGAAGACAATACTGATTGTTCGGTAACAAATTGATTTCCTTAGGCGTATTTATGACTTCAGGTTCCATGGTCTCAGATTGAGGAAGTGTTGTGGTGTTCATTAAGAGCAGCTCCTGGTCATATTCAGCATGTGCTCTATTCCTGTCATTATGGCAAGAAATCTCAAACATGATCCTCTCTCCATCAGCCATTTGGCTGGGGATATAGTGAACAATCAATTCAGTCAGATTATTAGCCCGTCTAATAATTGAATTGAGCTGTCGCTCGGGTAATGGATTCACTGCTCACACGGTCGCTTCAGCCAAGGCTGGTTTAAAGAAGTGTGTGAGAGAGAGAGAAGTAGCGGAGGAGGGCGGGGGTGTGAATGGAATAGAAAAAAAGCAAAATGAAGCAGAGCGACAACGTTGGCAGTGATACCTCAGGATGGCAGAGCAATCAGATCCATGTCAGTTTTTAATCAGGTTCCATGGAGACACAAATTAGCCGTCACATAAGGAAAACATCTTGCTTTGCCTTTCCATTTCACAATTGTATGTATCAACTTACAATTTTACATCTGAGGAGAGCCTCTCGAGGTTTCCCGGGAGGATTCCATGGCAGCATTTATGCAGTTTGTCTTATTAACTTTCCACAAGAGATTATACGACAGTGGCAGCATTGTTTTGAAGTAACACATTAAAAGACCTGCTAGACTAAAGCCACCATATGATATGCCTAAAAAGCCAAAGATGAACACGTCTTTTTTTGTTTTATCATTCATTCGCACAAACAAATGGCTGCCAATATCAATTGCACGGTCTTGCTGGGGCACAGTTGGGTAAATAAAATCAGACACCCATGCCAATGTACATCCCAGCAGCTGAATCAAGCACGGCTTGGATTCCGACACACTTCAGAACTATTATTACTCTGTCTCTGTTGTTTTGATCACGTATTCGCTGCAGAAACCGAGGAAGCAACCAGACACATGTACTTTTTGATATAATATCCATTTTGTCTAACCCTATTTTAATCCATTACGAGACACTGATATCTGTTGGTGGATCAGAGACCTGGCAGGGGTCTCGGCACAGAGCACAGAGAGGAGCTGATTACTCACTCTATTGCGGCGGGAGTTCAAATGAAAGAAAAACAGAACAACCTCAGTCACAGTAATGGAGTGGTACATCTGACACCTTATCAGTTGGAGGTGCTCATCAGAGAGAGCTCGCTTTATTTTCTTTAAGAGATTTTCCACAGATATGGTTGTGAGTGGGGTGCCGCCTTTCTACTTGAGGTGATTCTGGAAACATGGGGTCCTTGCTCTTCATCAGGTCGTGTCACATCAGACGAGGCACGGGAAGACTGTGAACAAGCAAACAAACAGGCGTGTTTTTCTGTCTCTTCCTCTTAATCTTGCTTTGTAAAGTCTGAAGTTTTTCACACCTTTATACTCACTCTTTTCTCACTTGTGGTTTACGACTTGTGCGTGTGATTTTGTTCCAGAAAATCAGAAAAGACCCCGTAAGAAGAGTTACACAAAAATATGCCAGGAGCTTCATCTTCGTAATGAACCTTGTCATTCTAAATGGAAAATATACAAGCAGGAGGAAGCCCTATGAATAATTTAATGAGGAAATCACGAGGAAGGCCTTTCACATTACTGCAAATGATTACTTTTTTTCTGCTGATACGAGTCTTTATGATGAAACTGGCTAATTGTTGGTGCAGCTGGATGACAGTTTCACTCTCAGGCATATATGCTAATATGCAAAGATTTCAGTGGTGTCATTTAAGCGACAGAGAATTATTTGAAAGAATACAAAGAACTTCTATAGAAACCTTTGTCTCCCGGATGACAGCGTGCTCCGACACTTGCTTCCTAAATAGACAATTAAAGCTTGAGAGTTTCTTTTATACAGGCTGTACACTGAAATCATTGAAAGTGTATGTAACATCCTTCAGCAAGACTTCAGAAAGAAACAATTCACAACATAAACTGTTAGTCATAGTCTTACTTTGAGGGAGGGAAATAGATTAAAGGGATAGTTCAGCTGAAACTGAACATTCTGTTATCATTTACTTACCCTCATATCATTCCAAACCTCTAAAGAAGTTCATACATTGAAAGTCAACAGGGTCCAATCCAATGTTGTTTTGGACCCCATTGACTTTAATTGTATCTGCAAAAACAGTTGAAACAGCCTTTGAAATAGCTTCATTTGCAGTCCAGTAATACGGGTTGGAACGACATGAGGGTCAGTAAATGATGACAGAATTTCATTCATGAGTGAATTCCTTTAATCTATTTTCACTTTGCCACTCAAGCTAAGTATTAGCCTCTATTTGCTGCTTAGAGTCCTTAAATTTAAATAGGTAAAAGTGAGGTCTGCTTTAGACAGTTGGCAATGAGTGCAGGACATTGGCAGGTATAGCGGATATAATTGAATGGGGCTGTGCTGCAGCAGCTAATGGAAAGGAAACAGCCTGCTAGACTCAAATGGGAATCTTTGCCACCATACGGAGGGCTCCTGCTGCTATGGTGATATCCAGTAAATAGGATTGAGCCCAATGGGGTTCATCCACTGGATGCCATGGAGTCTCCCCAGCCCCACGGCCATGTGTCAACCACTAATCTGATCACAAGAAGCATGATACCCCGAGACTACTTCTGAGGGCATACAAGGATAATGATAACATGCTCCAACAAATGGACTGACTAGGCAATACAAATATGGTGTTGGCACAGCATCATTAGCACTCATTTTAATATTCTGCTTACATTTTTCTCAAATTAGTGACTGATAAGAGACTTTCTTTCTTTCTTTCTTTCTTTATAAGAAAATAAAAGACAATAAGCAGAGTAGCAGACCAACCTCTCTCTTTTTTTATTTCTACTTTTTATTAATGGCATTGCATTGACTTTATTATTTCGACATATTATCACAGACCAGCACACATGCTCTAACTAATAGCCCACAGATAGTTTTCTTTTATTGTTTCCAGCAATTTGGTTGTTTTAGTACTTCAGTCTTGTGAGCATAACCCTGAAATGACATATGGAATAAACTAGTTCCTGTAAGCTCTAGGTGATGTTGATAATACTTTGATGAAAACTAGGTCTTGGGCACAGGCAAGCATTTAGTAAAAATGAGTTTATCCGACACTGTCCATCATATATTGAGGGCTCTCTTTTCAACTCCACCAACTGTAGTGTAGCACTTTGTAACTCATCATTTTGTTTTAAATCTTGTAAGAAGTACATTGCTGGAGAAGGTTCACTTTAATTTTGATCCTAGCTTGCCCGGACATCATGTTCTGTTCTGTCTTTAATACCAAGCTAGTTCCTAGGTCCATCAAAACTGAGCTACTATTCTCACTGTCTAATGTTGTGGTTCTTGGCTTTCTTCTGTGTCAAAAGAACGGAAAGTGCAGCGTGTAATACTAGGGATTTCTCTCCTTTTTTTTTGCACATGAGGATATTTTATTTTACAGATGGATAGAGTAAAACCTAACAGAGACACATACACAGAATTGCTTGAGTAGAATTTATCTATTGCACACCCACCATCACTCTCTCTTCCTTTCTCACTCTCTCCATCTCCCCTCATGTACATTCACAGACAGTACATATAATTTTGTTCC